AAGGCAAAACATTGTTATTTCGTCATCTTAGTTACTTCTTGTATAGCTGTAATAACTAAAAGATTACTTTAAATTAGTGGGCACAAGAACTGTGGCAAGACTAGACTATGAATCTTAGTTGAATTACATTATTGCATATGCAATGAGGACATTAGTATGGTACAGGCTTAGAGTATGGGAGGCCAGAGGCCCATAAATGTAATTTATCATTGTTTATTCTTTTTTATTTTGGACTCAAGCAAATTACTCAATTCAATAGAACTAGTATTTTATATGCTAGTTTCAATCAGGAAAATTAAAAGTAAAGATATAGATAGGTGATGGTTTGAGGTGGCATTTGGTGTTTTAGACGATGATTCTTTTACAATGGAGATGCTAATAAATGGTGTTGAAACATGGTCGCCAAAACTTACTGTCAAAAGGGCAGTGGTTGACTTTTCCTCACCCAACATTGCTAAAGAAATGCATGTCGGGCACTTGAGATCTACAATTATTTGAGACACTCTAGCCCGCATGCTAGAGTTTTCAAATGTTGAGGTTCTTCGGAGATACCATGTTGGTGACTGGGGTACATAGGTAAGTGTGTGTGTGTGTGTGAGCACATGCATATCTGTATCTGTGTGTTTGTTTTCTCTCTTTCATCTTGAAATTTTATATAAGTTCTGTCAAAATTATTTATTTTTTGATGAGGCTTAGTAATGGGTTGTCCCATTTTATGAGTAAACCTTTTCATTTGGATCAAAATAATTTCTTGGGTGAAATAGTGGTTTTAAGTTCTTCAGTGCCTTTTCCCTCCTTGATATGTGATTGGAGAAGGAACTCCAACAGGCCCTTATTGTGTTAAGTGGAAAAATTATAATTTTTTATTGATTATTGCTGCTCTAGAAGGTGATAATATTATGACCTATGTGTTGTCTGAATTATGAAAGTCTATTTTGATAATTTTTTTGTTGCTTTCCTATTATGTCTTAAAGATGTAATTTATGTTCTGCAGTTTGGTATGCTAATTGAATTTCTGTTCGAAAAATTTCCAAACGTGGTGGTTGTCAATGATCAAGCTATCGGAGATCTCAAGGTGAGATAAATTTTTTGGAAATTAGGTGAAATTCTTGAATTTGTACAGACGGAATACTTCTTCATGTTACTTGAATATTTTTTGATGCTACGTTCAAGCAACAAAGTCCCTTGCTTATATTAGCAAACAATTCAAGTAACTAGTTGCTTGTGCTGCTTTGAGCAACTTATGCCTTCGCTGTAGACAACTAATTAGCACGATTCAATTTTTTTTTCATTGAAATGAATCATGAAATTCAACGAAAGTGGGTATTATTGATTTAACTTGAATGCTATCATTAGGCATTCTATAAGGCATCAAAACAAAGACTTGACAGTGATCTTGAATTTAAGAAGAGGGCACAACAAGCGGTGGTCAGTCTCCAGGTGAATCATTTACCTTTATGCCTTAAAGACCTATGAGATTGATTATAGTAATAATTAAATTTCTCATTTGTTAAAAAAACTTAAAAGCTATAACTTTCAATTTTCTATTTTGGAGGAAATCTGATTTATAAACTGTAAATTTTGTTTCTTTGTTTTGGAAGAAAATCCGGTTAATGATTTTATCTCGAGGTTTCATCATGTCTCATCATTTATCTTATTTGTTTTCATTTCCTATGGCATAACTTGTATCACAGGGTGAGGAAGAGAAGTATCGGAAGGCATGGGCACAAATCTGTGAAATCAACCAAAGGGGATATCAAAGAGTTTATCAACTTCTAGGAATTAAAGATAGAGAAGGTGCTTAACTGATATTTTTCTTTCTAACTAATGACAACGTCAAACATTGATTTTGTTTTCCACCCAAGTTTTTTGCTCCATGGGGCCACTTAAAAAAGACACCAACTTTTGATTTCAATCTATAGTGTGCATGCTAAAATAGAACATTCTTGGTTTATGGTTCACAGCCCCCTGCCGCACCTAGTGTTTGTTTCATCCAATTCAAATGTATCTGCTTCAAGTCATTGTTACTTTATATTTGACTCATGTTATCAGGTTGGCCATTTTGTATAACTACTTGAATTGATGCTAGATTGATATATAAGATCACAATTCTACAAACATAAAACATTGTTATTTCATCACCTTGGTTATTGTATAGCCATAATAAGTAACAGATTACTTTAAATTAATGGGCACAAGAACTGTGGCAAGACTAGACTATGAATCTTAGTTGAATTACGTTATTGCATATGCAATGAGGACATTAGTATGGTACAGGCTTATAGTATGGGAGACCAGAGGCCCATAAATGTAATTTACCATTGTTTATTATTTTTTATTTTGGACTCAAGCAAATTACTTCATTTAATAGAACTAGTATTTTATATGCTAGTTTCAATCAAGAAAATTGAAATTAAAGATATAGATAGGTGATGGGTGATGGGTGATGGGTGATGGATTTGAGGTGGCATTTAGTGTTTTAGACAATGATTCTTTTACAATGGATTTTGAACAATGTAAAATTGAAACTTTATAGAATATGTTATACTTAATTTTTATTTATTTATTTATAAGTAATGGATTCTCATTCTTAAATGGTAGATGTGTAAGGAGTGAGGAATGCATCAAAACATGTTCCGGCTAGAGTGACTAAGTTGGTTAATGCTGATTTGTGGTTATGTTAGCCGTAAAATGTCTTATCAGTATGAAGTCAAAATTCTGTGTTTGCTCGGTGATATTATCTTTGACATTGAGAAATTCTTCTGCTTCACGTCTGAAATTTGAGAAATTCTCTCATAGTGCACCATAATGGCATATATCTATATATCAATATATTCTCTGACAGTACGTGATGATATCTTCGCATGTCGATATTGCAGTTTACAATCTTTTTTGTATTTGTTTATTTGTTGAAATAAATATCAAAAGTTTTACATTTTCTGTAAGCTTGAAATTAATTATATTGTAAATGATGTTTTTTTTGTGTTTCTTTTTGCAGATGCAACTCCTTTTGAGTATGTGATGATATCTTAACATCAATACTAGAGCTTACTGTTGATATTAAAACAAACTATAATATATATGTTTTTTTATTTGTATTGTCGATACTTTTGTTTTGCTTTAGATACAAAAATTTAAGCTCTTCAATATAAAAAATTATTAGTATTGTTGGAGGTTGGTTTATATATTTTTGTAAAGAATATTTGGTTGACAATTATTACAGGGTACATATATAGTATGATTTTGTGTTTGTGAATGTGAATGTGAATGTAGATGTGGATGTAGATGTGGATGAATTTTATTTTAGAAAATATTAATAATTGTACAGGGAATGAATTAATAAAATATATATTGATTTTATAAAACCCATTTCCTTACATTTTATTAGCGACGGGTTAACCTGTGGCATATATATATTAGTTCAAACCTTTAGCAACGGTTTAAACTGTCGCAAATATGGCATTAATTTAATTCTATTTTTTGCGACGTTTTAGACTGTCACTAATAATACTTTTCGCGACGGTTTAAACTGTCGCAAATACGATATTAATTTAATTTAACATTTTTCGCGACGTTTTAGACCATCGCTAATAATACTTTTCGCAACGTCAAATACCGTCACAAAAAAAAGTTTTGGTGACGGCAACCAATATCGTCACTAAAAGTGAAGTTTTTTCCTCTTTTTTTTGTTAGGTTAAACCGTCGCAAAAATCATTGATTAGCCGTCGCTACAAGATAGCGACGTCTTGCAACCGTCGCAAATTTGCCACGATATATGGACCATTTGCGACGTTTGAAACCGTCGCAAAAAGTTCAATTTTTAGTAGTGACACCGAATCATTGCCCAAAGAAATAAACCTTCTTGCAGGAGGAAATAAATCTGGAAGTTGTTTGAATTTGAAACACAAAGACACAATGCTTTTAAGCATTATGACTACTGGGTTTGGAGACTCAATACCAATAGTTGTAACCATTGATAAAGAGGCATCATGTAAGCTATAAATAGATGGCTGAAATAATAGAACAAACCAATTAGAATTGTTAATTATTTTCTCTCTTTATTTTTACTTTCAGATTGTATATTCTTTTTATGTGATATACACCCTCACGGGATTATCGATTTTCGCCATTTTCTGTTTATCTTTCATAAAGTAGTAAATCTCAATGAAAAAACCAATCATATAAGAGAATAAAATTTTATTTTTTAGTTTTCATTTTTGATCTGCAATGATACTAGGAAGATAATGTCAAACAAACTCGGACCACCAAATAGCATTGCTTTCATTTAGGAGAAAAAAGGGTGCAAAAAGTGATGTTGAAAAGAGTTCTCCACCAAAAAATATGCAAACTCCAGCCTTTGAGTGACCACTGTATTCAAGGAATGAAGAGGCTCCTTTGAAAGAATTGTCTTTTTTTTTTCTTTTTTTTTTTTTTTTTTTTTTTTTTTTTTTTTTTTTTTGCCAAAGTCAATGATTAGTTATTAAATTAGCATTTTTAGGAGTTAAAACTCACCCTCACAAACCTTGTAAGAAAATTTACCCTCTCATTTCACTCCAAGGAATTAAGAGAGACTTGGTGACCAAAAGATTAGCCAACTAGACTAAAGGCCCTTGATTTTTGAAAGAATTGTCTTTGTTACTATTATTACCTTGGTCAATATTGATATCCCAAGTCAATAATATTATTACTACAATACTATGTTATGACCTTTTATTTTTGTGCCAATATTTAGAAATAGACGCATGAAACGACTCTCTCGATTTAAATGACAAGTCTATTGTTTTTCAAGAAATATATGCCTAAAACACTTTCTTCCATTGACCGACATGCCTACACCTAATGGATCGGCGGGGTTAAGTCTAATGAGACGAAATTTAAACCTACTTTTAAAATCCTTTTGTCTTCTCCAACATTTTTATTATTATTTTTTATTTTTACTATTTCCCAAACATTATTTGTATTGGGCACTAGATAAAAATCTACCAATCCAAGACATAAGATTTTGTGTCAAATAATGACCTTTACGTACATCAGTGTAGTAAAACAACATTGGTAGAATACGAATATACATTGATTTCTCTATGTTTCGGAGTTATCCATATCAACATTTCAATAATAGCCCTTCAATTGAGAGCAGGTCATAATATAGACAATGTTTATTGTATGTGAATTATAGAAGAAGCCAATTTTCGAAATCTTAAAAAATGCTTTAGTTTGAATCCAAAATCATATACTTGCCTCAATATGAACAATAATCCTTCCCAATTATTTGATTGATTATTAACTCTTTCAAACCCTCGTTGTCGAATGTTGCACATAACAAATTTGTTCATTGTTTTGCAATCAATTTAAAATTTAGCAACAGAAAATTTTGTCATTAAGTACTCCGATTCGAATAAGATGTTTTCAAAACCTACATAGTATTAAAATCAATCAACATCAGGTTCAGTTAACAAAGAAAAGTAGATCTAACTTAACCTATAATCCAAATTAATTAATAGATATTTTAGAATTTGGCAGGGAATCAAAGTATTAATTCATTCTAGTGTGTCGCATGGCACGAATTTGGGGATTACAAGTTAGAACCACCATATGAAATTTAAGTGCCATCTTATTTATCTGACTTTGAGATTTTTCGCCTAGCACATATTCTACAAGTAATGGGGTTATATCAATCAATATATGTATGTGATTCAATCCTTTCTGTCTAGTCTAGTGGTAAAAAATGTAGTAAGAATTTCATTTATATGTAAAAAAAATATATATATATATATATATATTAAATCACTATTACTGAAAATAAACATACTTTTTTTTTTTTTTTTGTGTGTGTATATCATAATGAATATACCCACATGCAAAATTTAATACCCACACCCCCACATTAGTTTGTAAGGGTTGAAATTGATGCAATGGGCCACAACCCAAACCCCAAACTTTGTTGGGTTTGGTCTAGAACGGCATTATGTAAGAGCTACTTTGAACACCAACTAATGGGCCCTACTCTTTTCAGGCACGGCCCAACCTTTATTGAAGGTTAAAACAATATTTGAATATATAAAATAAAAAAAACATTTATTAATTTTTGTATATGAAATTTACGTACAACCTTTATTATTAGGATCATTATTCAAGGAAGATTTGACTGGACCTTTGTATGAGAACTGGCTTTTTTTTTTAAGACCGAAATATAATTGGAAAAAAAAAAATCATTACGAAAAAAAGGACGCTTTAACAAAGACGTTCATTATGTGTTTTTGGACAAAAACATGTAGTTGGGAACATTTTATAATGAAGTATTTTTTTTTTGTTTTTTTTGGGTCTTTGAGTTGCACCATGAGCCTTTTCAAAATTAGTGGCTTAATGAAGTCTGGAGAAGAGTTTAACGCCTGAAAGTTGGACACCTTTGTTTAAACATTGTTTTCAAATTGGGCCATGTAATTTGTAATACTGCATAGTTTGGGAAGTAGGTTTTGGTGGGTTAGGGCTAAAATAGTCACAAAAAATAAAATAGATTATTTTAGTCATAAAAAACAAAATATCAAATCCAACTCATAATAATTACACTCCTCTCTCACAAAAAAAGTCAAAAAAATTAAAAAGTCAAAAAATCCTTTCCAAGCCAGGCTTTTTAGCCCCAGGCTAAAATAGCCAAAAAGTCAACCCACTTCCCGAACGGAGGCCTAATGGTCTCTAAATATGGCCAAGGCATCTTTATGTAATGCCATTTAAAACTTTGACAATTTGCATGATTTGCATTCTGTCATGACAATGATATATATGATAGTTACTTCTTGTCAAATTTTAAGTTTTGCTGACGCAACGCCATGCTTCTTTTCCACTTCTCTGCCATCAACTTCATTTGAAAGAGCATCGGAATTAGCTTGACAAGATTTACGATTTTCATCTTAAAATTAGGATTATTTTTATAACTATTGTGATTTCATTATGATCAGAAGAGTAACTGAGATACAAACATAACCACCCTCAATTTTGAATTGGATTTATAGTCAAGTCGAGTGATTAGTGTCCAGTACTTATCAAGATTTGTACCACCCAACACCAATACAGTTGGATTCAATTGCCCAGCTATTAAAGTAGTTAACAGAGACAATTGCAGAGGAAGTAGAAAAAATAAAATGGTGCAGTTTCAGAGTTTTGGTATGATCCAATAAAGCCCTTTTGAAGGCAGTAATTACAGTGCCTATTCATGTACACAAGTGCCCACCTAACAAGATGAACATTAATAGGAATTATCTCTCCTCTGCTTCTGTTATCACCACCCCCAATTGATCATCACAAAAACTCCCAACAACCCCTTCAATGCTTGCTTCCACACACACACACCTGCCCTTTTTGGTATTTTGTTATGATATAAATCAATCTATGCATCACAAATTGGTTCATCTCTCATTTTCGCAGTCACGATTCTTTTGTTATCAAATCTATTTATTCATTTGTCTCAATACACTTCAACAGTATAGTTTATATCTCGAGAATTTTGTTTCTCAAAATGTCCATGAAATGATGCAGTCGAGAGTATATTGGGACAAAAAAATACTGAGACTTGGGAACATGGGATTCCTAACCATTTTTACATTGTTTTAAAAACTAATTTGATGTGCAGGATGTGCCTTTTGTAAGATTTTCTATGAAATCAAATGAAGGTAGCAAATTTTGGCTGGAACTGAATCATCAAACTAAAATAAAAACAAATAAACAAAATATAAATGGAACCATGTCTTAATCAAGATTTTATAGTATCCATGATTAGAAAACATGATTGTTTGCATTATTATGATTTGTGACTGCTTTAAAGCCAATTACGGGTTGGTCATACCTTAAAACTTTGATGCAGACATGAAGGACATAAATTATAATATTTTTTTGTATGTATTTTATTTTAAAACTAAAGCAATTTTTTTTTCCAATTTCAAAAAAAAAAAACTAGCATTTTTTAATTACAAAATTAAGGAGTGTTTTGAAAAAATGGTTAAAAGTTGACTTTTGACTTTTAATCAAGCTTTTTGGCTTTTTTGAAAAGTGATAAAAAAATATTTTTTATTTTTTGAGTTAATATTTATTTATAATGTTACATCACAATAAAACGACCACAATACCCGCAAATGGTGATTTGCTCTAGCCCTCAACTTGTAAACATGAAGTGTTCATGTAATTTTGACACCTTGCATTTTGGTAACTTCCCAAGTACTGTTCTAGCC